CACTATCACTTTTTCATACTTGTTTATTTAAACGGGGTTCTGGTGTGCCCTTTAGTGGTTGTGAAGGGGCGATACGAGTTGAATACTCCAGGACAGGAGAGATACCATAACTGTTTAGTAGACAATTTGTCAATGGATTGACTTGTCTCTATGACGAGTTGTAATGTGATGCTAAGACTGGCAAGGCTCACTGACGATGCCAACTACGATGCGGTGAGACGTCTAGGAATGTAGCAAGTCCACAATCCGACTCTGGAAATTATCATGTATACTATGGACTCCGGACTTAGTGTGTTCTTCTAAGTCTTCCTGCTAATATGACCACGTTGCAAAAGCAAGGTCAAGCAACTACTATACAACGAAAGAAGACTTTAGCTATACCAAATGGCACACCATCTTGGTCTTCATACCTTCGATTAAATCAAGTTAGTTGTCTTGATGCATACATGTGCCTTATTTTGCTATCTTAATGAGGTATTCTACGATTTGATTGGTGACTTCATGCTTACCGTAGGGGCTTGGAGATAAGTGAGGCTGACACATGTTGTCATAATTGTTTCATTATATAAATTAACTACAATTTGATCCTGCAGCATTGACGCGTTTTAGCTATGTGGATATGTGATCTATGTATTGAATACTCATGAGTCAGGTGACCCGAGTCCAATCCAGACTTCAGATTATTCAGGACTTTTCCCCTTGACTCATATTTCTAGCTCTTGCTCTTAATAATTCAATGTAACAACTGGGGCAAGTTCTTGCTTAATTTTAAACACCCTTTAATTCTGCTAAGACTATTGTTTGTCTTATGTAAGAGGAAAGTAGGGTTTCGAATGATAGCTTAATACCTTAATGTGACTACTTTTCATTTCGGATGAAAAATTAGTTGAAAGAGATCCGTGAATTGTCCGTACCGAAAATCGAGGGATTGCTATGGTCCTCGACTTCGATCAACCTCTGTTTACTGACGAACATCTTCTAAATTACAAACCATAGTTTACGAAAAAAAACCACAATAAGAGAGGAAAAATGGCCGGCCGAAAGCCCAATAACTTCTTATATTTGTTTACTTTGCTCAAGTCCAATAAAGGATGTGCCCCGCTTAAGATTGTTGTAGCGTGATGCATCCAGGTTTATTTGTACCCATTTAAAACAAATCTCTAAGTCGTGTAAGTTTTTAATAAGAAATTTAAACATTTTTAGAGTTACTTGATGATCAGTCAATAGAAAGCGGTTATTTCTAATTTTATGTACTGTTATGAGAAACGAAGCAGTCAGGCCTTAGAGCTAGCGATGAATAACACCACTAGGTCGTGAAAGCAGAATGTTGGACAAGGATTATATCACTTCAGTAACCAACTTAATACAGTATAGTAGATATTTTCCCTTCACTAGTACGTTACGAGTCATTACGAGGTTTAGCTTAGATCATACTTCTTGATTGCTATAGAGGAATGGCTAACATTTCTGGATATCGTAGTGGGCAAAGGCAATGAGTCGGGTGTTTATAAAACCCACTCACGGGTTCCCCTCACTTCCTTATTAGTGCGTCTCTCTAAGTTCTGAAGGAATGCAGCTTGGGGCCGAAGACTGGCGATTTAATGAAGGTTTCTCATTTATAATTAGATTTTCGAGACTACATCACATGTATAAAATAAGTGGTGCCTGATTTCGAATTTTCTCTCAGTAGTTTTATCCTTTATACCAGATCAAAACGATACGGATTCCGGCAAATTACCTAAAAATATTTATCAGCACGATCTTTTTTGTGATTCAATGAGTCGGGCATTTTTTTAGTGTCGAAACTTCTCTTTGGGGGCATTATCTATCCAAGTCACTGGCTTCTGCAAAAGGTACGCTCGCTTTCGAAATAAGTAAATTCTTTGGCATTTTATAAACATTTTACTTGCTTATAGACTTGTGCATTTGAATATCAAATGTTCTAATTACCTTCAGTCTGACGCGACTATGCTAGCAACCATGCTGGATTTGGTCCGTAAAGCACTACAGTCTCTACCCTTTGACCTCTCCTTAACCGGAGTCTCTTCTTGGCTAAACCGGACCTCTTCGCTCAACAGTCGTAAAGAGGTCCTAAGGACAAATCGGTCCAAGGTAGTCTCGCCGCCTCCAGCACCATTGTCTTCGTCCTTATCTCTAGACTCCGACGCGAAGCATTCTGCGAACAAGAAAGGAATCATCCATAATGCTGCAATCGAGGAGACCAATACTTTACAATCTCCTCCCGATTATCTCGTCCGCCTGCTTGTCCATCTCCGGCTTCATCAGATCCAAGTTATGATGCTGTTGCACAACTATCGCCGCGACCACGGCTTTTCGCTGGAGGCTAAAACACACACCGTCTTTGCTAAGGCTACTGATCATTTGCGTGCCAGCCTCGCCTGGCTCACACAATCAATTATCGCAGCTCCAGGCCGCTCAACTGAGTCTGGAAGCAAATTATGTAATGTCAATCTGACTGCCCCAGTGCATGCGAGCCGCAGTTGGACCGGTTTCCCTGTGATGCCAATCCAGGATGCTGTACTCATGTTGACGCTTGTGTCTCGTCTCCTCTGTCTTCATTCTCTCAATAGGAGTAAGTTCGCTATCGGATAGTAAGATATCTGCAAAATCAAATTTTCTTTCGCTCACAATTCTGATTGATTATTTGCTTTAATTGTCGCTCCTACAATGTTTAATAAGGCACTAGGTTCGAAACTAGCCTATTTTTTATACCAGTTATTCAAATTTACATGCATACATATGAATGCAACATTTAGATATTTCCATAGTTTTTGATGACAAACATCTTTCACGTGCGTGAAGAAGGGGAATCTAGCTCATATTATTATAATGTTCGAGTCTATTATAAGTCCAGGTTAAGTGGTCGGTCGTTTCTCTTTCATCAGAGCAATTGCTGTGGATAGATAGGTATCTTGATTCACCTGCCTATACACAAACTTTAGTGACTCATTGCACGAAACTTCTCAGCTGTATGTAATTTCAAGTATCAAGAATATAATAGTGCACCTAAGAATAGGCGAATCAGCTATTCTGTTCGGTTATTGTCCCAGTTTTATTCATACACATTCTTATAACTTTGGTTATCGCAGATAGATCATAAACTTGACCAGATATATACTCCGGATTAAACGATTACAGCAGAGAGCTTTTCTAAGTCGAATTAAGCTCATCAAATTTGATGGCCTTTTCCGATTACTCGAAGCCGCCACCGCTGGTTTCTTATCCGTCTTACTCATTTCGTACTCGTACACGCACAGACAAATACGTGTAATAAATGTATAGGTGGCCAGCCATCCATTTAAACTTATTTATTTTAAAATTATATAATGCATTCGAGATTAAGCCCTTGAATGTTATCTTATCAGCCAAATAGCTCGACTTTTTGTATAATTAAATCGAATCTCAGCATATTTTTGACGAAACCGACGAAGGATTTCTCGAGTGTTTCGTCAGTTCGTATTGTAAAAACGAAGAGGCATACAACATACATAACAATTTATCTTTCTCTTCCACAAATATCTCTGGGTAATTCTGCAACAAATTATGATGGCCGACACAAATCCCTTTAATCACCCAAAATATGCCGTCGAATATATCTGTTTAATAGCACTGGCCCTTAACTCTTTCTTGAATAAAAAATAATGTGTCAATTCCAGTATTATATGATCCTATTTTGCTTCTTAATAGACATTTTATCGGTCGGCAGGTTACAATTCATTCTTTGCGACACTCTCCACGCTACTTGGCCTCTGGATTCTCTCATTGGCCACATTAATGGCAAATTTTCTGGTCAGACGCTAAGCTTGGAAGAAAAGAATGATCCCGACGATATAACAACGATTGCCACAGACCTAGCGAACTGCCTTTTCAATCTCGCTAACGAGACGCAGAGCACCTGCGAGATTTTGGCGGATAAATGCCCACAAGGATTACATAATTGCGAGTCGACTGAGAGGAAATTGAGCAATAGTATTACGAAGCTTTCCCTTATGTTAATCAAAATTATTTCAAAATTTAAGGAACCCCCAAAATTATGCACTCTTGGCATTTCTCAAGAACATCTTCTCGGAAATTTGAGACTAGCTCTGCTTACCGTTTCTAAAATGATGCAGTTGATCAAGCAGTACAAAGACTCGTGAAAAAATCTGCACACACCATGTCCTGATGTACATATACAAACTTCTTACTCAAAATGCATCCATTTATAATTAACCAATATTATGATGATACATTTATGTTTATCATAGAATCATGCATTGTTTAGCACTGCAGTTTATGAGAAAATGTAAAAATTTTCGACTTGATTCAAAGTTGCTCCTATCATACTACTGAGCAAGACTGCCAAATCGTTCGAGTCAGGTGGTCTCTTATTTAAGAATATTCATATTAATGTTATAAGGTGATGACCATATCATCAACCAAGCGACATATTTCCCAGTATTGCCTCAAATAGATATTAAAATGGGTTCTAAATTATCGCGAAATATTTCGGGTGAAATTAAGAATTCGATTTTGAATACACGCAAGCCTAATTGCATATTGTCAATAAGTAATAATAATACTGTAATATACTGATGACCCCAAAGCTGTCCCAGATGCATTTAAAATAAGGATAAGGCTCGTTTATAGGGGTTTTGAAAAAAAACATCGGAAAAGGCAGGATCATAGATAAAAGGATAAATACAACTAATTTGACGAAAATGAAATGGTAAGAGGAAATTTAAACTCACTCTGGCTAGTTACACAGTCAATCAACAGGAAAATGTCTGTATACACCAATAATTGCTCCGTTCTTTTAATTATAAATTACAATAAAAGGTGAACAGAGTCAATAGAGCATGTGTGGGCACAGGTTAGGATGAATCTGTCTGCCTGAATAAAGTATGCACTGGCGCATCTCTGGGTACACAGCGAAGTGATGGTAGAGTGCATCTCACGATTGTCCAGAGAGTCTATCACAAAGACCAGTCATTTTTCATCGCACCATTCATTTTCTTTCTTTACCTTTAATAGATAAATTGTTTGTTATACCACCAATCAATAAATGCTCAAATAAATACGAGGCCACATATTCCTATCAGGTTCCTCTTGTCATTTGTCCTAGCCTTGCCGATTCAATTAATTTCACTAATAATCAGCTTAAGCGATTTTTATGAAAAATGAGATAAAATCCTGTCTTATATAAACGAAAAATCAAAGGAAGACCATCAAGTAATTAGTATTCGTGTTATTTTTTTACCTCACCTGAATCCCGTCAGGAGTAAAGTCGATGTCCTTGGATGTAGAGCAGCTTTATTGTGGCTATCTTAAATGTCTAGGACCGGTGTTATCGTGAAGTATCAAAGTAGAAGATCATTTAATAGTTAGACTTAAGGGTGCATTTTTTGTGTTAATGATATTCATTTGTTTGTTGAAGCAAGGACATTATGGCAAACACTTGGAAAGAAGCCCGAATTCAGGCGATTCTTGCTGAAAATAATAACTGTAAGCTACAACAAATTTGCCGTTAAAAAATAGAGGAAATTTATGGAAAATGCTGAGTATCGCCTAAAATGAGGCTGAATTAACAGATGGACAATCACACATGTGGTTCCTAGTCGTATAGATATCTAATTTTACTTCCACCCTTCTTCTTCGTTGCATAATGTGGGGCAAAGGCTCGCACATCTTGAGGGAAATCAGCATAATGGTCGAAAGCCAATGAAGGATGATTGATTTGTTCGATAATATCAGGAACCGGATATATTATTAATCACATGTAATTGATAGGACAAAGACCGGTGAAATTCATTGTGCCATGCATATAAAAAAGGTATTATCGTCACTTATGCACAATATGCCGTTAACACTCTGAATGTAAGCCTCACGAGCAAGCCTAAGTACCACTGGGTATTAATTAGTAACCATTTTAATTTTAAATAGTCAAGTGTAGTTAAAAAAAAACCTAAAGGGACTG